CCAATCCGAAGTTCTTCTTGCTTTTGTTTGGCATCTCTTCGGCTCATAACATCTGATAAAATAAGAAATTCTTCTTCTGTTAAGACTTCTCCCTTACGAGAATAACCTTTATAACTAGACCATCCTGTATCCAACCTATTTTTAACCAATCAAAAATGTACATAATATGATTTAAAAATATATAAAACAAAATTAGTTAAAATTTATTTTCAGGCTCAAGGCCCAAAATAATAACAGAGTTCCCACTACTAAAACTGGGGCTAAAATTAAGGATATTTAGGAGATTTAAGGAGATATTTTCCTATTATTTAAGGAGATTCAGTTGCAAACTACAATTTTTTGAAGGAAAAAGTAAGGAGAATTAAGGAGAAAACAATTACACTAAAAACAGAAACTTTCTTTTTTTAATCAATTTTAAATATAAATAGATACACTATTATAAATAAAAAAAGAAATATATATAAATATATATATATATATATATATATATATATATATATATATATATATATATATATATATATATATATATATATATATATATATATATATATATATATATATATATATATATATATATATATATATATATATATATATAGGGTAGGGTAAGGCAAGATGACCAGTGAGGCAATAAGTTGTGAGGGTATCATAGAATAGTAACGTTTTATTCCTCTATAATAATATTAATAAAGTTAAAACAATATCACAGAACAAAAAATAATTTAAATATCGTTATTAGTTAAGGTTTAAATAGATTTTTAACTTTTTTGAGTATTTCGTTAGTAAGTTGCTTCTAACTTCAAATGTTTATTGGACTGGCAATACTTAGGCGATGAAGGTAAGAAAATAGTTTTTTTTATACAGAATTTGTCCCACAATAATATATAGAAAAAAAAGTTTTTAATTAAGCAACAAAATTAGTTTTATTTGTATTAAACTTGCACTCACTACATATGAGGCAAGATGTCCTCGTTTGGTAAGATGCCCACAGAGGGCTTCTAGTCTCGTGGTTTTACGGAATTTCTACCATTTTAAAAGTGTGTTTAGAACATAATAACGTTTACTAATTTAGTTATTGACTTTGTTTACATGTTGGTTTATGTGTTGATAACTATTATACATATATATAAATAATTTTTTTAAATAATTTTATATTTTTTTTAAATATTATATGTATGCTAAATAAAGTGAAGTGTGAAGTTGTATTACATGTAGTTACTGCAATTCAATCCATACTTGTAAAACATTTATAAATTATTTATAAATGTATATATAAATGTATTATAAATACATTTTTAAAATTTGCATTGCATTTGGGGAAATAAAGTTGTATTATATTAAATTAATGATCAGCAATTGAATGTAAATAATAATAATAACAATAATAAATTAAAAAAATAATAATACCATTGTCATTAATAATTCTTGGGTAACTTTGTGCAAAAATTGTGTGCATATAACTTAAGTAAGTTCTTATTTAACTTAAAAAGAGTTAATTTATGAATGTAAGGTAATGTTTGAAACAATAGTATATTAAATAATTATATAATACTTTGCATGTGTTTATATGTTTATATAATTTAATTTTAAAATTTTTATTTAGAAACATATTTAAACAATTTAAATAATGGTGAGAAATTATGTGCGAAAAACACAGAGAGGTGCAACTAATGATAGGATAAAGTCAGCGTTAGAAGCTATGGAGATGGGCTGCAGTCTGAAAAATGTTGCATCAGAATTTAGTATTAACAAAAAAACATTACAACGTCATCGAGATGGAAAAGTAAAGGTAGTTTGTGGTTTATCTCTGGGTGGAAAATCTCCTGTATTTAGTAAAGATTTTGAATTAAACATTGCAACACAAGTTCAGATTATGGAAAGAGCATTATTTGGCTTGACAACAATAGATATACGTCGCCTAGCATATGATTTTGCTAAACAAATGGGAATTGAAAATCCTTTTAATAATGAATCAAAAATGGCAGGAAAGGATTGGCTGCAAGGATTTATGTCTCGCGACCCACAACTTTCTATTCGAACCCCACAAGCTACCAGTGTAAGCAGAGCTGTTGGCTTCAATAAACCAAAGTTAAATCAGTTTTTTTCAGTATACAAATCATTATTTGAGGAACATAAGTTTTCAGCCAAACAGCACTGGAATATGAATGAAACTGGAATAACAAATGTCCATAAGCCAGGAAAAATAATTGCAACAAAGGGAAAATGACAAGTTTCAAAAATAAGTAGTGGAGAAAGGGATGCTACTGTGACTGTCGTGTGTGCAATGAGTGCAAGTGGTGTTTATGTCCCACCATTATTTATATTCCCCCGTAAGCGAATGACTGATAGGCTGGCTTTTGGTGCACCTTCAGGGTCAATTGTTAGAGTTAGCTCCAGTGGATGAACAGATTCATCTTTATTCATCGAATGGTTAACACATTTTGTAACTGTGACTAATGCATCTAAAAATAATGAGCAATTAATTGTACTTGATGGTCATCATAGTCACAAAACACTTGAAGCCATTAACTTTTGTCGATGGGATTCACCTCATAACTCTTCCACCTCTTTGTACACACAAAATGCAACCTTTAGAACGTACATTTTTCAAACCATTGAAAGTTGGTTACAATACTGCAGCAAGCAACTGGATGTTATCGCATCAGGGGCGTAGATTTTCATTTTTTGACATGGCAGGTATTTTTACAACTGCCTATAACTTTACTGCAAACATTGACCAAGCAATCAATGGATTTAGATGCTCTGGTTTATACCCAATAAATGAGCTTATTTTTAACGATGAAGCCTTTGATGCAGCTTTGCTCACTGATGAAGCTATACCATTGGAAAGCTGTCAGCAATCAAGTGATTTGCCTAGTATACCTCTTGTTGCACCTATACAGTTGCCAGATGTCATAAGCACAGCAACTGTTGCCTCAAAAATGAAGACTGTTACGAAAGAACCAGCACAATCAAATGATGCAGTTTTGCCAGCAAAACTGCATCATTTGAATAGCAAGGTTAAAAATAACTTTTTGTGATTTTTTCTCAAAATTTTAAAATTAATATGAAAAGAATATTTTTTTACTTTTGTAATAAAACAAAATATATTACATAAAGAGCAATAAAATTGCATTTAGATTAAATATTACGTACGAAGGAATGTATTTAGACTGCCACTAATTTCTTCAAAAAACTTTAACTTTAAAGGAACTAAAACTTCATTTGTTCAAGAACTTAAATGTTCAAAGCTGGTGTTTTGTCCTGATTTACCACATCCAGGTTGTTTAATCTTTGGTAAAGACTTCCAGTAGTCAACAACTAATACTACTTTTGACCAAACCTCTATTGCTTCCTTGGCAACACTTTGATTTTCAGCCCATCAAGTACCACAAAATATGTAAGGAAAATCTGAACTTGTTGCCTCAGCTATTCTTTCATAATCACTTGCTCTTGATGGACTTTCATGAAATATTTGGTACATTGAAGACATTAACTTCTTTAAGTTCCAATCAGTAGCTTTAGCACCAGTTTGTAAGGATCCATTGATAGTATGTAAACCACAGGTACCAATATCGATGAGTGTACTTAATTCATTGTTATGACGTTCTTTGTTGAGCATTTCCAAAAACAGTTTATTTACATTAAGGCCACCCATAGAAACCTGAAGCATTTTTTCAGCATTAAAACCAGTCATGCAGGGTTTAAACATATTTAGAATATCTGGGGCTGCAGCTTTTCCCATGAAATATAATCTCTTGTGCAAACAGTATTACTCTCTTCATTCCAATATCGCACATGTAAGTCCATTTGACCTTTCTTTACAATTTTATTGTAAGACTCATCAAAAAGACACACAAAGTTATCAAGCAGGTTAAGATCTTTTATCAGAATGTTTTTAAAATAAGGGGCAAGACCACGAGTTACAATATAGCCAGACTTTGTTCGACCACAGGAAAAGTCGCTGGCAATTTTGCTATCTGGAAACATGGAAGCAAATTGTTTAGACTTGTTCTCACTTGATCTAAAAGAGTATTTGCTTTGAACAATATCTAAACACCAAATTAACTCTGCTTTTAAAACTGCTTCCTTTTGAAGCATATCTATATATATATATATATATATATATATATATATATATATATATATATATATATATATATATATATATATATATATATATAACCCTCTGATTTAGGGTCGGCATTCGGCAATGCCAACCTAACTGCTGACCTTAAAGTGTTTGAGGTCGGCAAAATATTGCTGACCTCATTTCTATGTTTTATAGTAATCCCTTTGTAACAAATTTTCTTTACCAACCTTATGCCAACTTTTAATAGTTTGAGGTCAGCAATAAATTGCTGACCTCATTTTTCCTCATTCGGAGGGTTGTATATATATAGCTGTAATTAAAAAAGAGAGTCAATTACAAAGAAAACAAAATAAATATATATAAAGAAAGTGAAAGTCAAATACAAAAAGCCACAAAAAAACATAAAAAAATCTCTAATACTCGGATGGCTGATATATGATATACATGTATGATATATATGTGGTATATATACATATATATATATATATGTATACAATTATATATATATATATATATATATATATATATATATATATATATATATATATATATATATATATATATATATATATATATATATATATATATATATATATATATATATATATATATATATATATATATATATATATATATATATGTATATATATATATATATATATATATATATATATATATATATATATATATATATATATATATATATTAAAAATAAAACTACATATTATTCACTAACTTATAGTAGTGAAAAATATGTAGTTTTATTTATAAAAAATATATAAATACAGCTCTGTTTTAATTTAAATTATTTTAATACATACATACATACATACATACATACATACATACATACATACATACATACATACATACATACATACATACATACATACATACATACATACATACATACATACATACATACATACATACATACATACATACATACATACATACATACATACATACATACATACATACATACATACATACATACATACATACATACATACATACATACATACATACATACATACATACATACATACATACATAAATATATATATATATATATATATATATATATATATATATATATATATATATATATATATATATATATATATATATATATATATATATATATATAAAACAAAAATATAGGATTTTAACTCATCAAAGAAGTAACTATGTAACTATATGCTTCTCTATTGCAAGAACCAGTCTAAGTTTAAAAAAGATTTTATAATGAGGTTCTCGCTGTTCTGCAATAACAATAAAGAGCAGTATGGTTGCTTACAAATAAAAAAATTAAACTTTACAAATAGTTTGCTTGTACTATTCCAAGGTGGTTTGTTTAGGATCAGACGGAGTGCATTATTATATGCAACATGTAGGTGATGAGTCTTTTTGCAGAAGAGAACTATAAGTAGAACTGCAGTATTAAATAACCTGATCTTCTTTCAAACTAATGTTTTATTAAATAGAGATCATATTTATTTTTAAATATCTTTGTCATCATGCATGCATTTAAGATAAAATAATTTTAAAATATCTTTGTCATCATGCATGCATTCAAGATAAGATGATCCAGGTAATTGTATTAAGCAGTGTACAAAAGAACCATACTAGCTAATGTATAACAAGGGTATTTAACTTGGGGTTCATAACTTTTTAATAGCATTATTTGAGACTTGTTATTGCTAAAAACTATACCATGTTTCAAAGCAAAACTAAAGTATAAGTCAAGTAGGTTCTGGAGACCTTTAGCTGTGGATAAACATTAGACAATATCATCAGTATAAAAAAGATGGTTAATGAGAGAAAGATCCAAATTTTACCTAATAAAATTATTTTTGTTATGACCTCAAAAATCTATTTTTATTTTTAACAGTGTTATACCAGATCAAATCCTAAAATTATTCAAAAGTTAAGTGAGTATAAAATCATTTAGATAAAATTTAAAAAAAAAAAAGAAAAAGCCAGAATAATGATTATCAAACTAGAAAAACTTGGTAATTCAAAGACAAGAGTTTTTTAACCCTGACCCTAACCCTGCATCCAATTTAAAGCCATCAAAACACATGAAATGTAGAAGTCAGTTACCTGATTTTTTTTAAGACTAACATAACCTTAAATACAATTGAGAGCATTAAATTTACCAACCAAGAAAATAAGTGGAGACTGGTTGAATCTGCTGGTTGATAATATAATACTATTCTGTAATGATTCAACTACTGCAATTACAAAAAAAGTTTTAAAAAAAAGACCTTTGACAAGATGGTTGAAGAGTCTAAAATTAATGGTTTAGTTCAGCAAAGTCATTTGTTATTTTTCTTGTGATAAAAAAAAATTAATTTGTACATTATCTATATATAAATAGTTTTAATCTAAAATATATCTTTAACAAAATTTATTTTCTTTTTCAAAACTGTTAATGAAACTGTAACTATAATTTAATTTAATTCTAATAAAGGCAGTTAAAAAAAGATTTAAAACTTAGATTGGTTTTTTAATGCCTCAGATAAATTTAATTTTAACTTAATTTTTATAAGTTTTAACTTAATTTTATAAATGCAATTAATACATGAACTAAATAATAGAAATTAAACATATTAAAGTTTACCTTCCTCTTAAAGCAAGCTGTCGATCATCCGGGATTGTCCAGCGATCATCTCCATCAATTGAAAGCTCAACCATTCTCATCGACAAAACACATTATATTTTGTACACCAAGGAAACAATATCATAAAACTTTTTTTAAACAAACGTTGAAACACTTATAATATACTATATATGACTTTTAAAAACAAGAAATAAAACCTTTTTATCAATTTTCTATTAAATATAAAAAAAATGTAGAATACAAATTTTTTTATCTGAAAATTTTTAAAAAATCATCATTTAAACTTTTTACTGTAATACTAATTTCTACTATATTATCTATATTTTAATCATTTTTCATATAAAGCATAATCATATTAAAGTAAATTCAAACTCATAAATTTTTAATTTTATACATTCAATAAAGCCATTTTAAAAGTCAAACAAAAGAGCATTTTCTGTTGTCATATAAAAACTAAAATTATACATATAACAACATAATTTATACATATAGCAACATAACTTTTAAACACAAGAAAAATAAAATCATAAAATAGTAGAAAAATAAGTCTGTCAATAAATAATAAAACTATATATAGTTATATATATATATATATATATATATATATATATATATATATATATATATATATATATATATATATATATATATATATATATATACATATATATATGTATATATATATATATATATATATATATATATATATATATATATATATATATATATATATTATATATATATATATATGTATATATATATATATATGTATATATAT